GCTTTTGAGAAAATCCTCCTATACTTACCCTTATAATGGAGCTGCTCACTTGTGGACAGCTTTTGAAGAACAACCCAGGCATTTTAGTTAGCTACAAGCAAAATAGCAGTTCATTCATATGTAAAGGAGATAATCACTTACTGTCATTAAAGAACAGGATTTATAAAAAAGTAAGTAGAGTGACAAAAAACCTACAGGCATTCTAAGATTCTCGAGGTTTGTTTTTAGAGGATGGGAATAAAACTGATGCCTGACAGCTAGTAAAGAGGCTACTCTTGAGCAGGCTGGCTGGGTCACCTCATAAAAAAGCAGGAAACCAATTCAGTTGTTGATGGCTTATTTGAAACACCTTGAGGTTTAATGTGAGTATATGTATATGATAGGCTGTCTCTACCAGGATGCTTTCATTGGTAACTTCCCCTTCATTATTAGTCTAGGTCTGCACCATTTCCTCATCCGAATTTCTTGGCACATTCACACAACTCGACTGGGCAGGATGATGGTAGATATTCCTTCCTGGGGTCTGATTGTATTTTTCAAAAACAATTACATAGATTCGATTTCAATTGATCAAGTCAGAAACACTGTTCAAAGTCCTATAGATGGAACAGAGAAAAGCCAAAGAAGGAAAAGAGAAACTTTTTGTCTCATTTTAATCCTTTTAATCATCCTTAAATGTAGGTCCTATATTTGAAGGGAAGTATATATAGGACTTGGAGAAATTATTTCAAATATATTCTAATTCTAAAGTTAAAGTACATACAGGCAGATTAATGGATTGCTACAAAATTATTATACCTACTTAATCTAAAGAGCTGTCAAGAATTTATAAATGAATACCACATTGTCTGAAGTACTTAGAGAATACAGACAGCTTCCTTGGACTAATGCTAGCTGTCAGCTGTTAATACATAATAATTACGTCTTCACTGATAATTCATCCAAGAACTTGTTTTCTGTATCTCTTTATTATAATTCTATTGCTCCTCCACCCCCTCCCGCTTTTAACATTTCCTTTTTGATTTTTATTATTTAGTCTGTGCAAAGATGGATTCTCTGGAATATGAAAGGATTTAATAGATAAGATTCATAGAGACATAGATGGCACATTTAAATCTAGTAAAATGGCATTAGCTTAAATGAGGAATCAGGAAAACATCTCTGGAACTATTCCAGACATCTTTGCACAGCACAGATCGAGGGTTATGTGATATTGTAGGAGAAATTTGGACATAAGCTCTGGGGAAATAGGACCCTGAAATTCAGTTAAATTCAGCAACATTCCTAAACTCAGTGCAAGTATTGTGCTAAGCCATGGGGTTCCTAACGTGAGGAAGACCCCTTAAGATTCCTTACAGAATTTATGATCAGACCCACATGCTTACTACTCAGAGTCCTCTCCTTGGGAGAAGGGGTGACTTCCAGCCATTCTAAATCTCTAGAACCTAGTACAGGGCCAATCGATGCTCAGGAAATAGTTATTGAACTGAAGCACACAGAGTTGCCTTACAGGAATAAAACTGAGAATTAGCCTAATGCAATGAGTGATTCATAAGAAAACTGTCCTAATGCAATGAGTGATTCATGAGAAAACTGTCATGTTAATTAATCAAGAAATCCTTCTCTGCAGCACCAATCACCCTTTCAAAGTATAATCTCAGCTCTTTCCTTTGAGTTAATGGAAGCATCGTCTCAATCTGGCAGATGAGAAAAGCAAACTAAAATGAAAATAATAACTACTTATTGAGCTGAGTCCTTTCATTGCACTGAGTATTCTACAGGGTGCTTTGCATGTTTTTATCTGACTTTATTTTCACATCACTCTGAAGATACGATAAGCACCTGAAGCCTCAAGAGGTAAATAATATTTGCAGAGTTATAAGGCTAGTAAGGGGAGAAACTAGGATGGCAGCTCTTTTTGTTTAATTCCAAAGCCCATGTTCCTCCCATTGGTTTTCAGTGTTTCTGAAGCACGAAAAAATTACCTGCAGCCACTGGGTATGCACCTCCAATAAGCCAGAAACTCTGACAAGTGCTCTTATTTGAAGGTTAATATATTTAAGACTTACTGGGAATTGTTCACTGATGAAAGGTAAGATAAACTTTGATTTTCCTAAGTGAGTGGGTTGAAGCTGATAATTAAGACAGCTTTTCCTCTCACTTCCAACTCCCATTTGCAGTATATTTTATGGTAAAATATATGTGATTTTTTTACTGTGATTTTCAAATACATGTGAATTTTTATTGCTCTTTTCTTTCTAGGTTTATACACCAAAAACGAATGGAGGGAAAGAAGGGAAATTAATGTTTTAGGTATATACTAGATATTAATAGTAACAGCAAAATTTATTCTCCAAAAGCGATTCTCTGACCCCAAAGCCGTTTTTCCCCACTCTACCACACCAATTCCCCAGAATTTACTAATGGACCTGACAATTGTTGAGTTCTGCTAGGCCTGCCAGAATCTAGTTGCAAATTGGGGGGCAAAGCTCTCTAAGCATCACTTTTCTCATCCATGAAATGGGAATAGTGATTCTCTCATAAGACTTGAGGATTAAATAATTTAATTTGCGGTCCAGCCAAGTGGCTCGTTGGTTAATAGTTGGCTTGGGAACGCGAGCTCTGAGCAGCAGGGCCGCCGGTTCGGATCCCACATGAGCCAGTGATGCTGTGCCCTCTACAGCTAAGATGGTGAACGGTGGCTCGACCTGGAGCTGGGCTGCCGTGAGTCCCTGGTGACGGAGTAGGCTGCAGTGGGGCCACCATGAGTTGCCGGCAGCTGGCATGAGCTGCTGTGAGCCACCGTGAACCACCATCCAATGGCCGACAACCGATCTGCCTCAGCTGGCAAGAGCGCAATGTTCACAATGCCAACATGGGACAGTGAAGCGACGTCCTCCACAACTAGACTGAGGAACAAAAGGACAGCAACTTGTCTGTTCCCCTCCTACAATTCCCCAATAAAATCTTTTTTAAAAAAAGTATATATATATAAAATTAAAAAAAATAATAATAATAATTTAATTTGCTGAGCACTATGACTAATAGAAAGCCAGCCAATCTTTTCACAACACTGCCAGTGTAAGATATGTCACATTTTACATTTGTCTAACTGAAAGTAAGTCTTGATTTAACATCTACATGGCAAGGTTGGCTGTCTCTCCAATATCGGTAACAATTGTGGCATTCGTCCTCCATTATATGGAAATAAACTCCAGAGTTTACTCAGTTAAATGAAACGAGCTAAGGGGCATAGTCTGCTGGCTCTTTGGATCATGCTGTGGAGGCTCCTGCTATTATATAATGTCTGGCACAGCCCAGGCTGCAGGGAAGCATGTTCTCAACCTCAGCCGTGGGAATGTCACTGGAGTGCAGTCACTCATGGAGCCGCCCCTCAGAGTTCCTGGTCGCTCAGGGCTCATGAGCCGGAGGCACCCAAGTGTTGGAGGAGGTCATTGAGAGGACATGACTGCTGGTGGAGAGCTGCACCTGGGCCATCAGAGGCCCCTCCCACCTCCCCTGACCTTGGAATGTGGGTACGTTCTGCCCATCATTCCCACTGTGGGAGCCGTTTCAAGGATGCATCCTTGAAAGACCAACATGTTGTTGGGGCCATCTGCACTGTGCACATGACTCAGCCCAGTTAAGGCCTCGGCAGTATTACTTTTATGATTCTAGCAGACAGATGCAGGCTCATCTTGCAGTCACCCAAGATAAGTCTCGTATGTACGTTCCTTTGTTGATTACAACTGCCACCTACCAGTCTGGAGTGGTCTGCTTCTTTCTTCCATCTCTCCTTGCCTTCCATGCACAGCTTTCAGGTTTCACCCAGGAAACTCCCACGTTTTCCAACCCACGCCAAGTCGCGGCTTTCCTCTCTCCACATCCCAGTTAACGGGGTTGCCACACTCCAGGCTGAGGTCTCAGTTGGTGACACTACACAGCCTCCATCCCCTTCTTTCGCAAACAGAACTAGCCCCTCCTCTTCAAAGCCCAGACTTTATAAAAGGCACTCTGTGGGGGGTTTTCTGCAAAGTTAGTTAATGTCGATTTTCCATTTCAGGCTTGAAACCCTTACAGATTGTTAATAAACTCCTTCCCGTCCTCCACTCGGTTCTCTGTACTGACCTCACCGTGCACTAGTAACGATAGTCAACAGACTAGCACTGTTATACGTGCTTCTTTATGATAATATACACATACCTTCCCTATATTTTGTGGGTTTTTTGTCCATTTAACATTATATCTTGGAGATATTTAAATCAAAGTCCAACTTAGAGCTATCTGTAGACCACATGAAACAGAGTAAGAAAAAAAACTTGTTTTTGTAAATTACTGAGATGTTTGAAGATGTTTGTAACACAGTATTACTTAGTAAAAGGTGACTGATATATGTATTTCCACTTATATTTTACTATCACCATCTAGAATTAATCAGTGTCAATTATCTTTCCCTTAAAACAAATTAGAGAATTAACATTATGTTTTACTGCTTTATTTGCTCGACGCTGTTTTTTACAGCCTAATTTTTCCTTTTGCATTCTTGTTCCTTTTGCTGAAATACATTGTAAGGTAATTCTCGAAGAGGAAGTAAATTTCCTTTATGGGTAGGTAGTACACTGAGTTCTTACTTATCTTAAATTGTTAAGACTTTGCCTTCACAAATTTTGGAGCTTGTTTGTGTAGAGGTGTCTAGGTTCAGAGTCACTGCTCCTGAGAGCGTTTGAGCTATTACTTCATTGGCTTGGCTTTGGCATTGTCAATTAGATATCTGCTGTCAGTCTTGTTTTCATGCACTTCTTATTCCTGTGTTTTGATTCAGTATTTATTTGGATAGATTTCGTTTTCAGGTATTTGTTTATTGTCCTGAGGGTTTTATGTATGCTAACTTCTTGTACTTTTGGTAACATATGTCAGTTGCCGTTATGCTTGAAGGATAATTTGGCTGTTTTAAATGACTAAATGGCACTTTGCTTTCTTATAATCTTGTAGACATGTCTTCCTGAACTCCTGGCATGAAGAATAGCTACAGGAAAGGCTGACACAGCCTGACTTTTCCCTGTACACGTGGCTTCCTTGTCAGTTTCTATTATCACACACTTCTTTCTTCAGGTAAATTCTTTCCTCAGCTAAGTTCTTAAACTGGTTATTAATTAATGTCTATTGCTTTTTAAACAATTTTTTTCTGAGACATCTGGGAAATAGAGTGTTATTTCGATATGCAGATTATAAATTTTCAATAATTTGAAATTTTAAAAGAAATTTTTGGTCTTTGCTTGTTTTTCAGTTTCAATTCATTTTAAATTCTGCTTCACAAGCATAATTATACATGTACTGGATCTTTGTGTGGCCTTCAAGCTACTATCTTCTCCATAATCATGCCTGTGTATTTATACTTTTCCATTATTCTTTATTTATAATGTCACCTAGGCTGTCAACATGTACCTGAATGTGATTTGTCATCTCTATCCTATTTTAGGTGTTTTTAATATAACTTTTTTCTCTCTCTTTTTCTATTTTATTACTGTACTCAACCAGCTCACCTTTATTCTTCTGCTGTCTTAGCAACTCATTTGTCTCTTATGAGCTTTTCTTTTATGAACAGGTAATGAATGGTGTCTGAAATGTATGTGAGACCATGGAGAATTACCTGCCTAAACCCCTAATCTGTTGGGCAGTTGTTCTTACCATGTATTTCTTCACCTGCCTGGTTTTCATTTTTCCTCCTAACTTTTGTTGCAGTATCTATACATATTTTAAAATGTCTTTGTTCAGTTTCTTTTAATGGATCAAATTATTTGAAGAATACAGTTGGAGATCTGGGTGGAGGTGGAGGTGATGTGAGTTGGAACACTGTCGATTTAGGCTTCTCATCTTCAAAACCCTCTTTGCAAACCTGTGATTTGTGCTGCCTTGGGACACCTTTGATCTCAACTTTCAGTGTCTTCCTGACGTATCATGTCCTTTATGTCACAATTCTGCTGCTGAGATCTGCTGGTGTGTAATAACTGTCTCGCCTGTTGCCTTCATCCCATTTTATTCATCTATGAACAGATTGTAGACCAGAAAAATGTCACATCAGCACGGTCCTTCATTCTGTTCCGCCTTCCCTGCATCCCTGTCAAGTCTATATAGTCCTCGTCCATTTATTGGCCTCCTTCCAGGTCTTGTTGCTCCTTGAGGACCAAACCATTTGATTTTAAACAAGTGTGTCTTGTTCACAACTTCAGCCTGTACATGCCTGTTATTAATGGCCTGCCTTGTTTTGGTCTAGATTTCCCAGTACGACAAACATACTTCATGTTTTATCATTTAATTAAAAAAAAAAGATTTTTCTCTTTTTATTCTTTTGGTTGCTTTTAAGTAGGTTTCATGGGGTTGGGAGTACAATAAAGAGAGCCACTTCTCCATCATCTCTATCAGAAAAACCAAAACAGCTTTTAAAAGGTTGAGTTAACATGGTGAAAATGATCTTTTAATAATTTTCATTGATATGGATTACAGAGATGTTAAATATAGACTCAACAGAAGTTGCTGGTACATAGACTATGGGAGCCAAAGAAAGAGGAGGAATCAAAGACAGTCATTACATTTTCTTGGCTTGAGATACTAAGGTGATGATGGAGAAGGCTGGAAGGCCAGGCTGCCATGGGAGTGTGTAGTCAAGGTTTCATCTTAGCTATATGAGCATTGAGGAATCTCTGAGATACCCCATTGAGGATTTCCTATATGCTCTTGGATATGAGTCTGGAAATCAGGGAAGAAGTCTAGGCTTAATATGAATTGGGGATGGATTAGCCTAAATACAGTAATTAGTGCCTTAAGGATGGGTAAAAATGATCTTGGCAGCTATACAGAGAACAATAAAAGGCCTACCTTTTGTTGACACAGGATGGAAGATGAGAATATGAGTGTTAATGAAGGAAGGTTGTTAAATTTAGTGGTGGGAAGATGATGAAATTTCTTTCTAATGGCTTGTGTTTCCTCTGTGAAATTTGAGGGGAAGTTGTTAGGTTGCTGAGGGGGGACCATTTTGTGAGGCTTGAGTTAATAAAGGTATTTGAAACCCTTTCATTGTTATTAAGAACTCAAAAAATCTGTCCTGCTATATTTGATATATTTAAATTATTTTATATTCAAATACTCTTTTTTTACAAAATAGTTAATGAAATGATAAACCAAGGTTAACTGCCTACTGACACATTACTGTGTCAGTTAGTGCCTATTAGTGTATCTATTCTACAGATTAAAAAACTTGAGGCCTACAGATGTTAAATAATGTGCTCTCTGTGATGCAGCTGGGAGGTGAGAGAATTGGAATTCAATCCAAACTGTCTGATCTTAGAGCCTGTGCTATAATACACTATATTGCCTCTACTCACCATGACATTTACAAAGAGAGAGAGAGAGAGAGAGAGAGAGAGAGAGAATGTTTTTCTAATTACTATTCTTATCTCTGTTTCAAAAGTTTCCCTAATCCACCCAACAATATTTTTTTAGATTCTGCATAAAATAAACACCTAATTTCTACAATACTAAAGTCAAGAGTCAGAAATAAAATGGTACTTTCTCACCTTAGCCTTTTTCATACACATTAAGAGATTTTATTTTTAGTCTTTAATAAACAAGTACTGGTGAAATAATGAGAAATTTGACAGAACTCTAAAACTTGCTGTGTGTGTGTCTTCATGAATAATCTTTTCTCTCAATCTGATGTTACCATTTGCTTTTATGAACATGTTAATTTTTCTGCACAATGATTTCCCTGCACTTTTCTTTTTTAATGAGACAAAAACAAGAATTCAGAGATTTGACAGAGAATCTATATAAAGCAGAGAAGAACAAAAAGATGCTGTCTTGGCAATGAGTTAATGAATTATATTTAAAAGAACCATGAAATAATGGAAGAATGTGGGTGTGTTTTTTCATGAATCCTGTTTATTTTTCTTGTTTTTCTTGGCTCAGGAGGGCTATGTGCAACTTGGATGCAAAAGTTTGATTTGACATTTCAATTATTAAAGATAATTTAAGAGTGGAGAGCAGATCCTTAGCTACAAAGGGGAAATGCAATAAACAGAAAGAAATCATTAACATGGGAAGGATACAAAAAGGAAACACAAAATTTTTTGCAATTCCTGAATTTTCTAACATATTGGCCATTTATTACAAAATTCTGTGGAAAGGGCTTGAATTATTATCCTATTTTATGAAAGAGCAAAGTGAAACATCATAAATATACATATAACTTAATTTGAGGTAAGTGATATAATTAATGTATAGCACATAAAATTTATGCCTCTCCTTTTTCTTATATTCTTCTTGCTCAGATTACTGTTGACTAAAATTAATACTTGGAATTCATACCTATGTTGGGCAAAAGTTGAAAGACAGTAATTAAAATTCAAATGCAACTGAAAGAAATTAACCATGGAATTAAACTCATCCTGAGATTTTCATGCTACTTTGCTGTATTATCCAATTTTTAAGACGCTTCTTGTTGGGTAGAGGAGAGAATGAACACTGGGCTATGCAACTGGAGGACAGAACACAAGATGGAGGGCTTGACCAAAGGCTAAAATGCCAGGTTTGCTTATTTTCTTCTTGTTGGTAGAGTGGCTGTGCCTGAGAACTATGCCAATCTAGACACCAAGACCCAACACATATGGCTTTAAGAATAAAGAGCCTAGACATACAGAAGAATATCATACAATTTGCATTTTCTGAAGATAACAAGGAAGTCCTGACAAGAGTTATGCCCTATCTGAAGGGGGAGCTTCCTGATTCTGCAATAGGGAATTTTTTTTTTCTTTCAATGAAGGTAGCCATATCTTGATCACATAATTTCATCTTGATAATGTAGCTATTTTTAAGGACAAACTAATTAAAGTTTATATTACTTATATTTTCAAAAAAATCCTCATGTAGTGTGCTATGTTTCAAGGTCAGTTAATTAATTAATTCTTGTAATTTGGTAAAAATGAGATTTGAATTTACTTCCAATCACAATTTCAAAAACAAAGGGGGCAATTCTAAGAACATACTTTGAACCATATACAAATCTTTATTTTATTGTCTTTGGCCTTATTGAAATGCAAAGATGGCAGACATGTATGTACTTTGCTTCAAGCTTACAGTCATGCAAATTTCTTATCCAGAGAAATGTTGAAAAAATACTGCATTTTTTCCCCTTTAAAGATGGATATCAGAAAAATCAGAGGACTAAAATTTTAGTTATTCCACTCTTAACCCTTACCAATATTTTTCATCTTGAAATGTCCTACTTAAAGTTGAATGCCTTTTTTAAGAATCAAAATTTTAGGCAAGATCCTAGCCAACAGAAAGAAATTACTGTAATTTTCCTGAATCAATAATGTATATTTCTAACTGACGATCCTTTACATTATTGAAGACCCAGAATATAGGAAACACTTTAAAAAGTGATATAGATTAAGGAAATTAAAAATATTATCTAGAATTCTTATTCTAGAAATAGGATTGGCTCCTGTATTTTGTAGACAAACATTAGTAGAAAAAAGTTTATTTTGGGTTTATGCTCTTTAATATTCCAAAATTCTTTCAATTTAAACTATATCACTTATTTTTCATAACAATACAGTGAAATAATATGATTGGCATTATCACAGATAAGGAAATCAAATTCCTCCAGAATTCACTGCTTTGAGGTAAATCACCTCAAGGAGATGGTAAGAACTAGTTGGCAGCTCCAGGGCATCAAGTGTTTGATATACTCCCCACGGCCTCAGTTCATATACTTACTTGCTTTCTTGTCTCTGATTTATTGAGGAATAAGGTGCCAGTGAGCTGAAGATCAAACAAACAACACTGAATATGAAGGACTTGGAGAAATGATACGTCCTACAAGGTGAGCCCTAGTAGGAAATGGATTGATCTGATTTCATCTTGTATCCCAGCATCAGGCCTCAGCTTCTTTGGTAATTAAGCTCTAGACTGAAAATGGGGGCAGAAGGGAAACACCCACATAATAAAATTTCAGACTAGCATCTTTAATTTAAAATAGTTGTAAAAAGTATTAGCTTTAGGTAACATATTGGCTTGCTGTCTTCCTGTGCCTGGGGAGATGATAATCAAGCTGCTACACTGGCAATCAACATGAATTCATTAAACAAAACAGGAAGTAAACAGGTGTCTTTGAAATTCTGTCTCTATTTATAAATGCTTTAAATATGAAATAGTTGTGATGTTTAAAATTGATCAAGCAAACAAATAAATGAAACAAGGCAAGCAAACAAATGGAAAAACCTGAAGGAAATAGATTCTCCACCAGGGAGTTTTTCGTCCTCTAAGATTATTCTGGCTGCCCACCTCTCCAAGATACATAAAACTTCTCTTAGCTAATGCCATTCTTTATATATGTCCATGTGCTGCTTCACTCTTGATTACCAAAATGAACATGCTTAAAGTAGAAAAGAAAAAAAAAGGAAAAAATACAGAAAGGCACCAAAAAAATATTTTAAACCTATTTATGTTCTCTTCTTTCAGATATAACCAACTTTGATATATTTTAAGATTTTTTTGTGTGTCTTTCCCTGGCTATCCCCCCCCACCACCCAATTGCAATGAAATACAGTACCTTTGCCTGTACATTTTCATGAGAATACATACAAAAACACATAAAAACAAAAATATTCTTTCAGGGTTTCTTCATTTTGTATACAATATTATGCATATGTTTCGGTGACATCACTATATTACATTAATACCTAGAGGGAATTATTTTTTATAGTTTGTAGCAGCTGTTAGAAGCCTACTTAATATCCAGTATCCTTTTCTTTCTAATAGAATGCCAGTTTTATTGAGAGCAGCAACGTGCCCAACTAAAACTGCAAAATCGACTACATTTATCAGTGTTTGTTTGCAGCTTGTAAAGCCATTTGACACAATCCTGACCAATGAATTTTAGGCACATATCTGCTAAGGATTTCAGAGACAGTTTTGTTTTCTCAGTGCAGATACTGTGCCTGCTTTCTTTGTCCTTTTCTTCCTTCCTGTTGCCTGAAATATGGATATGATGGCTGGAGCTGCAAGGGCCATGATTGCACCATGAGGGAAAGGTTAAGTGAATCACCAACACCTTGCCCCCAACATTCCTGAACCATGCCTGCAGTCTTCTATTTATAGACACAAACCCTTAATTTGCAAAGAATAAAATTGGACCCTCTCTTACACAAAAATCAACTCAAAATGGATTAATTACTTAAACGTAAGACCTGAAACCATAAAACAGCTAAACGAACAAACAAACAAACAAACAAAAAAGCCACAGGGAGAAAGCTCCTTGTCATTGGTCTTAGCAGTGAATTTCTGGAATTAACACCAAAAGCACAGGCAACGAAGCAAAAATAAACAAATGGGACTACATCTAACTAAAAAGCTTCTGCACAGCAAAGGAAGCCATCAACATAGCGAAAACACAACTTACGGACTGAGAAGATAATCACTAATGATCCATCCTATAAGGGGTTAAATATCCAAAATTTTAAAGAACTCATACAACTTAACACCAAAAAAACACAACCCAGTCAAAAGATGGGCAGAGGACCTGAATAGACATGCCCTGCGTTTTGATGAAGGTTATTATTGTACTCTACATACCATTTGATTCAATTTTTTTCTTTTTTACTCTTTGACTCATATGTTATCTAAAAGCCTACTTCTTAATTTGCAAACATATGGACTTTTTTCCATTCTTTTAAATTACCTTTTTTGTTTGTTTTTTGATTCCTAGCTTAATTGCACTTTGGTCAGAGAACATATGTATGATTTCAGTCCCTTGAAATTTGTTGAGATATGCCTTCTGAGCTGGCATATGGTATTTTTTCTAAATTGTCTATGTGTGCCTGGAAAAAATGTTTATTCTACAGTTTCTGTTTATAAGATTCTATATATATCCACTCAATCAATTTTTCATATTTTTAATAACTTTATTTTTCAATAACAGTTGACATGCAATATTATATTAGTTTCAGGTGTACAACATAGTGATTAGACATTTATATAAGTTACATAGTGATCACCCTGATAACTCTAATACCCAGCCGACACTATTCATAGTTATTATAATATTATTGACTATATTTCTTGTGCTGTACTTTACATCCCAATGACAGTTTTTATAATTGGCAATTTGTACATCTTAATCCCTTTCCCTTTTTCACTCATCCCTTCAGCCCCCTTCCATCTGGCAACCATCAAAATGTTCTTTGTATCTATGAGTTTGTTACTGTTTTGTTTATTTCAATTTTTTAGATTCCACATATAAGTAAAATCATATGGTATTTGTCATTCTCTGACTTATTTCACTTAGCATAATGCCCTCTAGGTCAGCAGTTCTCAACCTGTGGGTCGCAACCCCTTGGAGGGTCGAGCAACCCTTTCACAGGGGTCGCCTAAGACCATCGGAAAGCAAAAAGATATTTACATTACGATTCATAACAGCAAAATTACAGTTATAGAGTAGCAACAAAAATAATTTTATGGTTGGAAGTCACCACAACATGAGGAACTGTATTAAGGGAGGTTGAGAACCGCTGCTCTAGGTCCATCCATGTTGTTGCAAATGGCAAGATTTTTTCTTTTCTATTGCTGAGTAATATTCCATTGTATATATGTACTATTTTTTTTTAAGATTTTTATTGGGGAATTGGGGGGATGGGAACAGTGCTGGGGAATTGGGGGAAGGGGAACAGACAAGTTACTGTCGTTTTGTTCTTCAGTCTAGTTGTNCATGTTTTTAAATCAAGTTATGTTGGCCTCATAAAAATTATTGGGAAAAGTTTCCTCTATTTCTATTCTCTGGAAGAGGTTTTGTAAGTTGGGTGTTATTTCTTCCTTAAAAGTTTGGAAGACTTCACCAATAAAGACATCTAGATTTTAGGTTTTCTTTGGGGGGAGGTTTTCAATGATGGATTCAATTTCTTTAATAACATCAGAGTTTTTCAGGTGTTCTCTTTTTAATATATCAACTTGACTAAGGTTTTTTTTGGGGGGGAGGGAGTAATTTGCCCACTGTATAGAATCCTTTTATGCTATTAGTATTCAGTAGAATTATCTCTTTTTCTTGATCAACCTTGCTATGAGTTTTTCAATTTTATTATTAATTAAATAACCAGCTTCTGCTTCTGTTGTTTTCTCTATTGTAAATTTGATTTTACGTGTTGTTGATTTTAGCTCTTCATGATTATTCATTTCTTTTTTTCTAGGTTTGATATACTGTGTTGAAATAGAAGCTTAGATAATTGATTTTTAACCTTTTTTCTTTCTTAAAACATGTGTCTAAGGATTTCCATTTCTCTTAAACACTGCTTTAGTTGCATCCCACAAGTTTTCATTTGTGGTATCTTCTTAATAATTCAGTTCAAAGTATTTTTAAATTTTGGATTTGAAATCTTTCTCTTACCAATGAATTATTTAGAGTATATTTTTATATTCTCAGGCAGTGGGGATTTTTATTATTATCTTTTTTTATTTCTCGCTTAACCCCATTGGGATCAGAGAACATACTCTGAATTATTTCAACCATAAAGTTTGTTTTTTGTTCAAATTTATGACCAGTTTTCATAACCAGGTTAAGACGACAAGATCTGGAATCAGACTCCCTGACTTCACAGCTGGCCTCTGCTTCTTTCAAACTTTATAACCTTCTTTAAATTACTTAACATCTTAGTGTTTTAGTTTTATCACAACAAAACAAATATATTAATACTACCATATGAGTTTACTAGGTCTGCCATAACGAAATGCCACAAACTAGGTGGCTTAAACAACAGAAATTTATTTTCTTGTGGTTCTGAAGGCTGAATTCCAAGACCAA